TCTAAACTGGAAGTTTATGTATAGTTAATTGGGGCCTCGTGCTCCTCAGCTTTCAAAATCTGGTCTTGGTTTTCACATGTCTAGCTTTGTTTGAGATTATGGACAGACAGACAAATGACAGTAGGAACTTATAGGTCTACAATTTTTTTCAAATTGCAGCCTAATAAAAAATTTATATGTCTGCATGCTTTGCCCCTTGAAAAGTTTTCTATGAACTCCCATGTTATACTGGCCTGGATTTATCCTAAGTTTGAATTGTATTATACTTTTTTAATACATAACAACTGATTTATCTTGCAACGCATGGGTTATGGTGAGAAAATGTCAAACAGATTTAAAAGTTTTACATACTTTTGTTACTTGGTAAGTATATAAAACAGCAATGTTTATTTATGATGTAAGTAAAATAATTCTTAGGGTTGTATTTACAACCAAGAATCAAACATTAACCAATAAACAAACTTTTAACTCTAACTTGAAAAAAGATTGAGTCTTTTTAGAGAATTTTCTTATAAAATGTGACAGAACAAGTTTGACAAAAGTATATAAATTTCCCACAGAAAAGTTGAGAAAAAAAAAAAAAATATTGAATCCAAACACAGATACATAACCAAGGCATTGAGCAATTTTTTGAGGGAGCTTTATCTCTTGCTACTCAGTTGCACTATTGTGGACTTGTCCAAACTCAATATAAAGAAGCCCACACACAAAGCTACAAATGAATATAAAGAGCCAACACACTAATAATTATGTTTCCACAAGAGGATTTCCACAATTATCTTTCTACAAAAGGATACCACCAAACTGATTATGTATGTAGTAAGTGGTATTGTAATGTAATTTGAGTGACAATTTTGATTTGATAATACAAGAGTTTTGGTTTGGTTGGATGCGGCAACCCAACATATGGGCAATCTGCCACAGGAAGGGACATTCTATAAAAAATTGGGCTCTATTTAGGTGCTACAAATGTGAGTAAAACTAAGAAAACGCCATGCAGTCAGCCCATTGAAAAGGCGCAAACCTGCAACCGACTACCAGTGGTCAGTGGACAAAACCATCGACCACTGGTGGGCACAGAGTTTCAAATTGATTGTTTTAGAATGAAAGATGTAACCAGCTTAGTTTTATTTCATTAGAAATTTTTTGATATAGAATTTACACATAACACTTTAATCTCAATGCTCTATAAAAAGTTTGAAAAAAATTCTAAAAATTGATTATGCCAACAGATCATCCATAAAAAATTCCTGAAGTTACTTCCAGAAAACTCAGAGGTTAGAAAATTTGGAAAGGTTGACACGAAGATTACAAAATAAGACAATTCTGCTTTTGTCAGGTCAACAACTGAGGCAACATTTATTATAGTAAATATAAACCGTGCAGATTTATGGGGCAGTGCATACAATGTA